TGAGAGTCGCCCGCCCGCCTGCTCTCTTGTCCCCCTATCCCCGACCGTCTGCATAGTCCCTTCCTTCCCCCAGCCTCTGCTGCACGCCAGTCTCCACTTGGCCAGTGGACCAGAAGGTACAAGACCCACACTACCATGGGTGGACAAACACGGAAGAGGGCCTTTCGTCTTGAGCCAAGAGTTCAGGTAGGCTCCTTTGGGAGGAGGCTGTTCTTCAGGCACTTTGAGCCCAGACCACCCCCACCTTTAAAAGTCCAAAGCAGGACTTCGTATTGCCTGCAGCTGGGCTGGCAACCAAAGATGATGGAACAATCTTGTCTTCTACACTCCAGAAATGGACCTCCAGTTCAAATCCTGGCAGTGGTCCCTCATAATCAGCATAGCTTCCAAAGATGCCTCAAAGGCAGCCCTGAGTAGGGAAAATTTAGGGGGAAGGCAATTGAGGGAGTGATTGGTGATGGAGCCACTATAGATGTTCCTGGATGACCCCTGTGCCCTTGATCCATATCAGACTGCCTTTGGTCCTGGCTTTGGGGCAGTCTTATCTGCACTGCCAGATGATCCCCATTTGCAACATGATGAGAACTCCTGGGTTCCAGTGGATCTTGCTGGACCTTCTGGCACACAGCCTCTGGCACTGGGGATCCCTCCGCTCTAAGCTATTGCTCAGGGCATCAAACTGACATGAAGGGGGATGGCTTCCATCTGTCTTGCCCGGTCAGAGCCAAAAAGCTGCCATTAGAGAGGTGAGCCCAGTGCTTGGGGGCTTCACTAGGACGGTCACCAATGTCCTTGGTGAAGAAAGGACTTCCACCCTAGAAATTACCACAGTATTCCAGTCACTGGGATGGCACCCTGTTTATGAACCCAGCAGCAAACTCATAACTGGCAGAAACAAAGGGGCAGGGGCTGAGCCATCCAGCTCCCAGGGCAGCACAGTACCTCGGTGCTTACATATGCTAATGGCTCTGTCTGGCTGAAGGAGAACAATGGCTTACCATCACACCTTGCTAGAAGATCAGCATAGAGCAGTGATGGCGAACCTTTTAGAGACCGAGTGCCCAAACTGCGACCCAAGACCCACTTATTTATCGCCAAGTGCCAACACGGCAATTTAACCTGGATACTGAGGTTTTACTTTAGAAAAAACAACCCATACATTAACTTAAGATGATCCAAACAAAGTAAGGAAAGCAATCCCAAATGCTTTCATTTACTTAAAATTATTTGGCAGAGAATTCCACACTTTAATGACGGTCTGGGGCGATGGCACGGGTGCCCACCGAGAGGTGCACAGGTGCCATAGGTTTGCCACCACTGGCATAGAGCACAGAGGGACGTCAGGGAGACAGCCAAATTACTAGAATGTATCCCTTTTTCTCTCTGCAGCAGGAAGATGAGAATGACCTGGAGGTGGGTGGACTCTCAGAAGAGCAACTGTAAATTCCCAAGACACACAGAAGAAGCTCTCTTCCACCTTGCTGTTCTCCTCAGATGGGCACAAGCCACAAAGCTCTACCTAGGGACTCCATATTGCCCATCTGGCAAGAGACAATGGGGAGGAGTCCTAACCATGGTAATGCTGAAATTAAACTACTGAATCTTTAAGAGATACTACCCTGTCCTATTCAAACACTGTTTAGGATAAGAACCAGTCACGGGGAAAGGGGACTGCCTGTTTTGCTCCCTTTTCTTTGTACCCTTGCTGAGTCTGGATGCTTGAACAGACAATGGGTAATCTTTTTACTAGTTTATTTAACTTATATTTTGAATGTTCTAAGCCTAAACTGAAAGCGGAATGTACTTTTTTTTGCTGTCTGAAGTAGGGCAATGAGAAGGGGCAGTGGGTGAGCTTACCAGCACTGGGCATGACAGCTCGAAAGTGCAAAGTTGTGGCAGATGATCCCCGCACTAGCTTGTGAGGGCAAAGTGAGAGAGGCAGCAGCTAGGCAGAGCCTCTGACTCGCAGCCCGGGTACACAGAGTGGCAGAGATCCGACTCCAGTTAGCAGGAGATCCCCCTCCCCCCAAGGTGCTGGGGGCAGCGGGTGACACCCAGTTTGTTTTTCGCATTCCTGGAGAGACGGGGAAAGGGGCGGCATCCCTGAAGAGAGACTCAGGATGGCCACGGGGCTTTCCGACCCCCTGGGGGACCGGCCTGAAGGACCAGGGAGGGCTTGCCGATTCATGGGTTGGATTTACATGGGGCCCTCTGGATTACCATTCCAACATTTCCATTGGTGCAAGACGCGGAAGCCCTTCTCCCACCCTGGGTTCGTTGGCTGGGAACATGCAGCACCTCTTCTAAAGCAAGTCTATGGGCTGCCTGATGATGTCTGAGCTCAATTTAAGGTGGGGCTTTAACCCCTGGGGCCCACCCCTCTGAAGGGCCATCTCCCCCCCCCCGTGGACTTAAGCACCCCACCCGCCTGTGCTCCTCAGAGGGCCCCCTCGTGGCAAACATCGAGGAGGAGAGGCCAAGGCTGTTCCAGCCACGAGCATCTTTAGCAGGGCGGGAGTGGCGATTGGTGTCCCTGGCAGGACGGTCATTCTGGGCACTCCGACGCATCAGTTCTGGCAGCCACGAAGAGGCGCATGACTGTGTTCCCTCTAAGCTGAATTAGTGTGAGCTAGCTCACGATTTTTTAGCCTCCGGCTCAAACATTTTTGTCTGGAGCTCAAGAAGGATGGCTCCAGAGCAAGCTAATTTATGCAGTCGCCAAATTGCTCACAACTTTAATGCCAGTAGCTCACAAAGTAGAATTTTTGCTCACAGGGAACATTGAGTCTGTGACCACCAGGGTGGTGGTTCATTTTGTGGTGGCTGCACTTATTCATTTCAAGATTTTTTACACTGTCTCTCCAGGAACCTGCCTGAGGTGGCTTACAAAATAAACGATAATAAAGAAACATTAAAATATATAAATTAAAACCCGGCATTAAAAACCCAGCCTGGCCATAAAAACATACACCATAAAAAGAGACCTCTGGCAGCTGAAAAGGACAGTTTCCAGGATAAAATGGTATTAAAAGTTCACCCCCTGAACTCAAAGCCCAGGTGGACCGAAACAGTTTGGCACCTGGAGGAGATCAAGGTCGGTGGCCAGGTGAGCTGCGTAGGGAAGGGCGTTCTGCCAGGGAGGTGCCACTACTGAGGAGGCTCCGCTGCGGGGTGCCACCCACCCTCAGCTCTGAAGGCGGGGGCACCGGGAGGCGGGAGCCGAGCTTGAGAGGCAGATCTTAACTGGGCAATATGGGAGGGGCCAGTCCTTCGGGTCCCCTGGGCCCAAGCCATTTCAGACTCTGAATTGCACCCAGAAAGAGTTTTATGGCTGTTTTACTGAGCTGGCTCAGTGGCAGAGCAGCTGCTGGGCATGCAGAAGGTCCTCGGTGCAATCCCCAGCAGCATCTCCAGCTCAGAGGGCCCGATGGTGGGCGATGTGTGAGTCTGTGCCTGAGACCCCGGGCAGCCAGTGCTGATCGCAGAAGATGAGGCTCAACAGAAGGCTGCTTTCCGTGTCGGGGACCTTGGGGTGCGGGGGGGCGACTGTTAGCATTCTGAGGCAGAGGGCAGCAGAGCCCTCCCCACACTGCAGGCGACCGGCTGGACAGGTGTCCAGGTCTGCCCCTTCCGCTTTGGCCCTGGCCGTGTCTGTGGGCTCCAGGCCGGTAAACCACCTCGTATCCCGCTGTGGCCCTGGAAGAATGTGGGGCGGGGCGATTCCCGGAGTGACCCGGCTCCGCCTATGCTAGGCTTGTCCCAGGGAGCCCAAGGGAGGCTGTCCCTCCCCTTCTTTCCGCAGCCACTTTTGGCCCCTCCCTGGCTGGAGTGTCCAGGAGCCGCAGAGGGCGGGACTTACCTCCCCAGCATAGCGGCAGCCGTCCACAGTGTGCTCGGAGCCAGGCCCCGCTTGTGACCCCCAGTGCAGGTGCAGCTGGGCCGCCAGGTAGGCCTGCGCGAGTCCACCTCCAGACACGGACATGTTGGCCGGCAAGCCGAGTACAACTGCAAGAGGCAAAGAGGCTCAGCGTCCCTTGTGGCCAAGCTGTCCTGCGTCTCCCGTCTCACAGGGCTGCTTCTCACAGGTCTGAACAGCCGCGCATCTCCTCTCCTACTGCCCGCCAGCACCCCTGCCTCCCTCCACCCCCACGTTCGCCAAACCAGGCAGGTGGTTGCAAAGGGAAACCAACAGAGCTTCTTCTCTGACTAGACAACCTGTCTGTGTCTTGAAGTCTAACTGCTCCTCACTGGTGGAGCTGACCTTCGTAGAAACAGAGAACAAGAAGGGACTTTAGGGGCCATCTAGTCCAACCCCCTGCACAAGAAACCCACAACTACATCCCCCCTCCCACTCCCCCCCCCCCCATTGCCCCCCGCCAACCCACACCTACACCCCCCCCCCCACCCCCCCCCCCCGCAGTGACCCCTGCTCTATGCCCAGAGGAAGGCATCTGTTGTTGTTTTTTCCTCCATTGGATAATAAACATATTGTGTCTGAGGAAGTGTGCGTGCGCACAAAAGCTGACACCCAGAATAAAACTTTGTGGGTCTTAAAGGTGCCCAGTCTGGACTCAGACTTGGTTCTGCTGCTTCAGACCAACACGGCTGACCCCACATGGATAATAAACACGGTGGGGAGAGCGGTATAGAAATTTAATGAAATAAATAAATAAATACATTAAATAAGAAGAAACCTACTGGATAAGCCCAACGGTTGATCTAGATTGGCTCCCCACTCCCCGCAATGGCCAACCGGATGCCCTTAGAAGGCCCACCAGAAAGGCTCCCCCCTCCCACCCCGTGGCCCCTCTCAGCAACTGGTGTTTAGAGGCCTCTGAGCAGCACAGAGAGCCATTGTGGCTAATGGCCATTCATAGAAACAAGGAGCTGGAAGGGAACTCAGGGCTCATCTAGTCTGGCCCCCTGCACAATGCAGGAAATTCACAGCCCCCCCCTCCCCCAGTGACCCCTGAGCTATGCCCAGAGAAAGGCAAAAAACAGCTCCAGGTTCCCTGGCCTATCTTGCCTGGAGGAGAATTCCTTCCTGACCCCAAAGTGGCAATCAGCAGGAGCCCCTGGGGGGCCTGTAAGAAAGCTCCACAGAAGCTGAGCACTGGCATACCCCTTCCTGCCCTCCCTCCCTCCCACGATCTGCTTGAGTTCACAGAAGGAGCATGGCTGTCAGATGGGGCCATCTAGCCTCTGCTTAAAACCCCCCCAAGAAGGAGAGCCCACCACCACCTCCCGAGGA